TAGATATTTACAAATGGAGGCGGTTGGAGGGAGAGAGGAAGGGACAGAGGTGGACACAGATGGGGGCTGGACACAGAATTATATACATGTTTATGTGTCACAAGGGACAACGTCCACTCAGTGCTTCACCTTATATTTGTGACTTATAGTGTATTTATATTAGCTTCCAAATGAGATTGAAGAAGAAAAGCAAATCACTATAGCTTAAAGAAATCCTCAGTTTACAAAATATTCTGATGAAGGCTCAATTGGAAAGGACCGTATTTGAATGGAGCAGAGTGTTTGTCATAAGCAGTTACACACCTCCCTCTGGTGGCCGTATGAGGAATGGCATGCATGCTGCTGGCTCCATGGATGTCAAACAGGCAACATTTGCACACACACACATCAGTCTCACTGCTAGAAGAAAACAAATTCTCTAAGATCAAAGGTTTGGGGTCGCCTTCTATTTGAAGTCCTTCCCTTCATCTTGAGGTGACCAGGCACTCCCCAAGGGGAGGGTCTCAGGGAGTGCTGATGGAGGCCCTGAGCTGGGCCCTGGGTCCACAGCAGACAAGAGGGAGGAGGCCGCTGCCTCACAGGACCTGCAAGGAGAGGGTGGGAACGTGCTGGGGTCACTTGTCCACGTCCCCGCCCTGTGTGTCTGGTGCAGAGAAGTGAGTCTACCTGAACAAAGACATGTAGGGCACTTTGATGTTTATATTAACGATAAAACACAGACACAACAGGCCGCAAGGAATATGTTATCACCTCTAAGAATAATCAGGAATTGTGAATTCACAGACACATCAGGAACAGTGGGCGTCCCGGCCCTGAAGGGGAGGGGAGGCAGCAGAGCCTGACTGAGACTTACCGCGTGTCCCTCTGCTCTGGCTCTGGTGCTGTCGCAGGCAGGAGAGCTGGAGCTGGCGCTCCATCCAGAGGGGTTTCCCCAGCGGGTTCTGGAGCTGGTGCTGTAGCTCCAGGAAGGGAAACTCTCATCAATAGGACTGCTTTCCCACGTGTCTCCCAAAGCCAGGGGAGCCCTCACTGCCAATCAATAAACTCCCAGTCCATGATTCCACCCCCAGGAAGTCTTCCCAGACTGCAGTCCAGGGGATGAGTGTTCTGAGCCTCCTCATTGCTCCTGAGCCAGTTCCAGCCTTGGGAGGCTCTAATCTGTGTGGTTCAGTGCCTTCCCCGCCCCACTCACCCCATCACCCACCCAGCATCTTCCTCACCATCACCCTCTGTGTCCGGAAGCTCCAGGTGCTCCAGCTCTGACAGGAGAAAGTGGACCCAGTGCTTCAGGTCAGAGCCAGGCATGCTCAGCTCTATGTAGGCGAGCACGGTCTTCAGGCAGGGAAATTCTGGAGGCTGGTGGAAATCCTCTGGGTACTGGTGCAACCAGGTGCCCAGGATGGAGGTCATGGCCCTGGGGGTAGTGAGGGGGACAGCAGAGTCAGTGACTGGGCCTTGTCCAGCACACTGGGCTCCCAGAGCAGCCCTGCAGGGACCTGGGCCCCTTTGCCTTTGGCTCCTCTCCATCCAGAGGCTGGCTCTGCTCCACATCCCATGTCACCTGGCCGTCTGGGCAGAGGCGGGCCTGGACACAGAGGAGGGGCTGCTACAAGCCTTCTGAAGGGACAGCCCTTTGTCAGCAGTATGGGCACCTCTCTACCTCTTCAGGGACACATGTCACTCTGCTCTGTCCCTCTCCCTGCCCCTCCCCACTGGATGGTACCTTTGTGAGGACAGGAAGGCTGTCTGCTCTGGTCACTGCCCTCTTGGGAACACGGGAGCTGCTCTATGAGTGTCTGACCCAGGAGGGAACAGACAGGCTGTGTCTGCCGCCCAGGCTTCCCCCGGGCCTCCTCACTCCTCAGACATTAGCTCCTGCACCTGCCTGCTGCCTAACCCTCCAGGGACCTTGCCTTGGTCTCCTCCTGCCCCTGCCACTCAGCTTCCACAGGGTGGGCTCAGCTGTCCCCTGAGGCTCACTGGGTCCCCTGAGCGCCAGCTGAGTCCCCACCATTGAGGATCCACTAGATGATGGTGAGCAGGATGCTGTCCACCCTTTGCGTTCTGGGTCCCAGAAAAGGGTGGGGGCAGGGCTGGGATGAAGAGGGGATGGCTGTGGGTTCTTTTAGGGGCTGACTCAGTCCTCTGACCTCCCAGATGCCCCTCACAGCACCACAGCCCCATCCGCAGCTCTCTGGGTCTCCTTTCCTCTTTGCCAGGAGAAGCCCTAAGACTTCTGCTCTCAAGCCAGAATCAGAGGATGTGTGGGATGCAGGGTTCCGCCCACTCCTGCCCATCCACACAGCCCACAGCTTCCCACAGTATTTGGGGGAAGGAGTCCCTCCCGCTTCAATCAAAGAAACTCACTGTTTCAGCTGGTGCAGGGGTCCATCGTCCTCATCGCTAGAAGGGAGGATGCATCCGTATCTAGAGGAGACCAGGAAGGCGTCACATGGACTGTCCTGAGGACACTACCTGGATGTGCTGTCTAGTGTGACAGTGTGATCCCAGGAGAATGGAAGCCGTGGAGGGCAGGGCTGTTGTCTGCTCGATGCATTAAATGATGGTTATTCCTAGAAAAGCCCCTGTCCCTCGGGGCCCTTCCTATATATTTGAGGAATGAATGAGCCCAACCAATCCCATAGCACACATCTGAGTGGACCTGGGACCCCCCCCCCCCAGGGATCCCTGCTCTCACTCTGCCAGGACAGGGACAGCTAATGGCATCACCGATCCCCTATGACATGGGAAAACAGTTCCACTCAAGGCCAAAGTCCCAGTGACACAGGAGGCAGGGGCTTCCTCATGGGCAGGAGGACAGTGACCACTTAGCACACCCACAGCCCCTCCAGCTGCCCTTTCCAGGGGCCAGGTCCCCAGAAAGCACTTTCCATTAAAGACCCCCTCCGTTCCTACCCTCCCAGGGCCCGATGCTCTCTTGACCCCAGTGTGCAGAGGGGCAAACAGGCTCAGAGAGGTTGAGTGCCAATCCCACATGTCACTGCTAGTAGGTGGTGGAGTCACCAATGTCCCATGCGGACAGAGTGCTCACCTTTGGAACAGAAGGTCCAGCACCTGCTGGGCGGTGGCGAAAGATCTATAGCTGCCCAGGAATGTGCGCAAGTAGGAGGGGTGGCCGCCCAGCATGGCAGGCACCAGGTTTGCCACCAGCTTCTCCAGCCTGTGTCGCTGGAGGCTCCACACCCTGTGGGTCTCATCCCTGCTCCCTGATGGTCCAGCTCCCCACTGGGTTGGAAAGAGGAGAGACATGAGTCAGAGGCAGCACCGGGGACCCCCAGGCACTTGGGGCTGGAGATTAGACCGAATCCTCAAGCCTCAAAGTCTTGTGCCTGAGGTGGAACAGGGGAACCCTGAGCAGATTCAAGGTTCTCGGCATCACCAGTACCAGGGGCGAAGGGCGATGATGAAATGCATCAGTGTCTCGGATCCCTGTGTCAGCACTGCAGTGCCGGCCCCTTCCTGCATGCACTGCATCATCCCTGTGACTGCTGTCACAGCATCCCATTCTAGAGATGAGAACACAGAGGCTGATCCCGGGGTGGGAGGGCTCAGGATTGTTAGGCCAATGTGGACACGTAGGGAATCGAGACAAAACAGGACAATCCATAGAAAAATGCAGAAACACTCTTGACTTATATAAACTGAACTTCTGTCAAAGTCTCTTTCTGAAATTCTGACTCATATGTGGGCACTGACTTTGCATCTGGCCAAGGCAGGGCCTGGGCTGTGAGGGCAGGTGGGGGAGACGGGGATCAGATCCCTTTGCCAGCAGGTCTCTAAGAGGGAGCCCAGGGGAGGAGCAGGGCAGCTGTGGGACCCAGGGCTTCCTGGGTATGGAGTCTCCTCGCTCGCACTCACCCTGAGCGCGTCCTGGGCTCTGCTGCTGTCGTGGGGCACCTGCGCCTCCTGCAGGGAGGTGGAGCGGGGATCTCCATGGACCAGGTCCTGTCTCATCCCCTGTGTGGAGTCCTGCAAACACAGTGCCCAGTGGCCAGGCAGGAACCTCAGAGCCCTGTCTGGTTGTCTTGACTAGTTCTCAGACCCATAAGACATCTCCTGTCCCAACACACACACACCACTCTGCACAGGGCTCCATCAGGGACAAAAAAACCTGTCAACCTGAGGGCCTTGGATTCCCACTGGCACAGACAAGATGCCCCTCAGGAGTCCTCTTTTCCCCTTATCAGCCCTGTCCTTGGGTGTGGCCATGACAGGACCACCAGGTTACCAAGTGTTCAACAACCTGTTCCCACCCAGAGGGGACACCTCCCCTCAGGTCCCCCTTCCCCGACATGGAGATGAGGGGAAGTGGGCCTGCACAAGGACGGCCTCGAGCGGAGGCTGGGCCAGGACTGGCCTGCTCCAGGCCACCCGTGTTACCTTAGGTGCCCTCCTCCTAAAAGACCAGAGGCGTTGAGGTTGAAGATTCAACCAACGCCTAAAGGCACTGAACAACCTCTCAGTCCAGGGTTTCCTGGCGGAGAAGCCCCGGGAGTTTGTGAAACAGGAGCAGAACATGCTTCTTCTTTAACTGTCTCCAGCCAAGTGAGCTGGCTCTGGGGCTGTCACTAGAATGTGGGTGCCTGGTAACCAGGTTCCGTTTCTGTTGGGGTCTGTGGTCAAGGAAGTGACCTCACTTCCTGGGGTCCACTTCCTTGGACCCCCTCCTCAGACAGCACCTCCACACACAGCCCTCCGGGCTGCTGCCTGCGCACCCCCTTCCCCGCGCAGCCCCACCGCTCCCGCAGTTACAGCGCCCCGCCCGCCCCAC